TGAACCCAGGAGGCGGAGGTTGCGGTGAGCCGAGATCGCGCCATTGCACTCCAGCCTGGGTAACAAGAGCGAAACTCCGTCCCAAGAAAACAAACAAACAAACAAACAAAAAAAAATATTTTTAGCTAAAAATATTAGTTGTCTAGATGGCATAATAAACAAAAACATACAGAATATTCAACAAATGCCAAAAAAGGAGGAAATAGAGTGGAAGGAAAAGATTACCCCTATGAAGCCTCAACTATGAATCATTATTAGCCTCACTGACCTGGTCAATGCCACGCCCTTTGCACTGCAGAATGATGACCTCTAACAATTTTGCTGCATGACATTCTGCATCTTCTCCTGCAACTCCTGTAAGAACCTGATCAACATAGAATATAAATTGCAGTGAGGCTTCATGAAACCTTTAAATCAGATCTCTGAATCAAAGAAACAATTTCCCACCAAATATCACAAGTATCCTTACTAATATGAATAACTGCCATGTTCACTGCACAGATGATAGACTCAAGTACCTCTGAGGATCTGGAATTGTCTACCTCCTCTCTTTTATAGTCTTGCCCTCTGGCATCTTGGTCTATGTGATCAAAGTACCTATCCCATAGTGCTATTCTGGATTATAGCAAGTTGACAACTACTAACTTCTCATACACAGGTGGTAGCTAAAACACCTAACCTTTCCCATGTAAAGAACTACAAAAACCTAAGATATAAAAAAAACAGTAGGGGAGGGAGAAATGGAGGGAGGAAGAGGCAGCCTATTGAGGGCAAATGTTGCCCTACAAACTCCAGACAGAAACAAACATGGACGTGAAGGATAGTGATTACACTAGATGAGTGTAAATGATTAAGTGTTCAGGAATAGAAATGTAAATAGTATAGGTATATCTCTATTCCCAGAATATTAATATAAACAATATAATTAGCAGTAAACAATGACTAACATAACTAGATAATTATGCGTGACTTCCTGTTCAGAGGGGAAAGAGATGAGTGAAAGAAATCTAAAAACTTCATGGAGCAACTCATTTTCTAATGACTTGAAACAGATATTGCTAGAAATTCAAATGCAACCAATGACACTGACTTTGATATTGATGGAATCAGTTTATTTGTTTCCCCAACCAAAACTGAAGGGCAACATTCATCCCCTATTTCTTGTAAACCCACAGTTGCTAAGCTTTTCCTTTATAAAACATCTCTATCCATTCCTAAACCGTTCAAAAATCTCGAGTTCTTGGTTCTTTCCTGCTTTTGATTCAAAAAGACTACGTTAGTTAAACTCCGGGCACTCTAAAATTCAAAAATGAATTCCGTGTCAGAGGGCACACAAAATTATCAAAACTGTGGCATCTAGGGACCAATGACTTTTAATTTTTAAAGCCCTTAATTCTGTCAGATTCATGTTTACTACAATGTGGTACCACATGAGCCTTCACAATTTCATACATTTTATAGCAGAAGCCTCATGAAATCTGATATATAAAAATGACCTACCTTTTTGCACATACTGTATATCATTTCAAGATACTTGGTATCAGACAGAAGTGTGTCTGTATCAACTGTTACATAATTATGAAGGAGGGGCATCATATCTATATTAATAAAAAACATCAGTTACACATCTTTACTAATACAAATAAATGCTCTATCTTTGCTTTGAAAAATCTATGAGACCATTTTGTCTCTAACATTCACTCTTTATTTTTGTTTTTGGGGTGGGGGGGATACTCTCACTCTGTTGCCCAGGATGGAGTGCAGTGGTGAGATTAAAACTCACTGTAACCCCAAAATCCTGGACTCAGGTGATCCTCCCAACCTCAGCCTCCCAGGTACCTGGGACTACGGGCACACCCCACCACACCCAATTAATTTTTATAAGTTTTTTTTAGAGACAGGGTCTGACCAATAGCCCAGGCTGGTCGCGAATTACTGGACTGAAGTGCTCTCTCGCCTTCTCGCCTTCCCAAAGTGCTGGCATTACAGGCGTGACACACTATGCCTGACCTTAACATTCATTTTTAATTAAAATACATTCATTTATAATTAAATGCAGAAATGAACCTATTAAGTGATTTTCTTTGTATTTAGTTAAATATAAAAATTATACACATTTATTTAAATTTATATGAAGATTACGAGGGGGTGTATGGGTATCTAGGTGTGTTTACAAAGAATAAACCTAAAATTATAACTAAATTTTAAAAGAGAAATCAATACCATGCATCACCAGTGAGCACTGACTTCTACTGATAACTTTTCTGAACAATGAAGCAGTCCCAAACATTCAAAAGTGTACGTTCAAATGATAAGCTAAAAATAAAGCAGGGAAAACCCTCAGTATTTCCATGCTGATTTGACTCACCTGTAAAGTAATCAAAGCCATCTTGCTGAAAGACTTCAAATACAAGGGGTAGTAGCTGCCACATCTGTGGAGACACTTGTTGACATGTCAAACTATGTGCTAAAGAGAAGATCTCCTCATAGAATTCTAAAACAGAAAACTGAATCATTAGTAAAATGCTTATGTGAAATAGCACTAGATTCTTAGCACAATCAGAAGTATAATACCTAAGACATGCTGTTGTAAAACAGTACCAATGACTTGTAAGCAGATTCCCTCAAGCTGTTGGGTTATCTAAAAGAGAAGAAAAAAAAAATCATATGCAACTACAGCCCACTGAATGACTTAGTAAGATAATACATACTTTAATTCAGTACACTTAAATATAAAGTCAATATTGTGAAGAAATGATTTTAAGTCTTTGTTTTAAAATGACTTAGACATTACGAAACTGTGATCTCAGATAAAAATGTAATGAAGTCTGGGTGTGCTGGCTGACTCCTGTAATCCCAGCACTTTGGGAGGCTGAGGTGGGCAGATCACCTGAGGTCAGGAGTTTGACACCAACCTGACCAACATGACAAAACCCCGTCTCTACTAAAAATACAAAAATTAGCCAGGCACAGTGATGGGTGCCTGTAATCTCAGCTACTCAGGAGGCTGAGGCAGGAGAATGGCTTGAACCCGGGAGGTGGAGGCTGCAGTAAGCTGAGGTCGTGTCATTGTACTCTGGCCTGGGACAGATTCCACCCCCACCAAAAAAAAAAAAAAAAAAAAAAGGTGATGAAATATCATTACAATGAGGAAAAACACAAGGAATGGCCAGCTTAATTTACCTAAAAAGGAAATAACAATATTCTCAAAAAACGGAAACTATGAAAATGCAGGAGTCAGTCATGCGCAGTGGCTCATGCCTGTAATCCCAGCACTTTGGGAGGCCAGGGCGGGTGGATCCTGAGGTCAGGAGTTTGCAACCAGCTTGGCCAACAAGGTGAAACCCCGTCTCTACTAAAAATACAAAAAAAAAAAAGCCGGGTATGGTGGTGGGTGCCTGGACTCCCAGCTATTTGGGAGCCTGAGGCTTGAGCCTGGGAGGCAAAATTTGCAGTGAGCCGAAATGATGCCACTGCCCTCCTGTCTGGGCGACAAAGGAAGAGTCTGTCTCAAAAAACAGTAAGTTAAGTAAAAAAACTTCATGCTGCAAAAGGCAACTTGCTGAAAACCTAATTTATATATAACACATATATTACATTACAAGCATCTGCATTGGAATTATAAACACCAGATTCACGACAGTGTTACTTCTATGGGAAGAGTGTATCTGAAATTGTTTTTGTCTCTCTTTCTCTCGCTCTTTCACCCAGGCTGGAGTGCAGTGGTGCAATCTCAGCTCACTGCAACCTCCACCTCCTGGATAAAGGCGATTCTTCTGCCTCAGCCTCCTCAGTAACTGGGACTACAGGCGCCTGTCAGCACACCTGGCTAATTTTTTTTTTTTTTTTTTG